TGCACTGAGGATTTTATGAAAACATCGAATGCATTTGATGCATCGATGCACTCTGGCTATTTTGAAACATCGAATGCACTTGATGCATCGATGCACTCTTAGTGCACCGATGCACTAAGGGTCCAACAGTCAAAATATTTGAATTTTACACTGATGCACCATAGGTATGCATCGATGCACTGACGCTCCCAACTGCTTTAATTAATTGTTTTCACACTTAAACGTCTCTATTGACTCCACTAATCATCCCCAACGTTCAGAAGTGATTCAAGGTGTATTTAAACAAGCTTAGAAGCCATTGATCAACAACAAGAAACAACAAGCAACTAGAATCAAGAGAGAATCAAAGAGAAAGCATCAAACCTCAAGTTTGTGCATTTCAAGCCTATTTTTCATTCAATATTCATTTTGCTTTCAAGAACACTATTTGTTACTCAATTGTATTCATTCTTGAGTGTTCTTTTCTTTGTTCTAGAATTGTGCAAACAATCTACATTGTGAGGATTTCCTTGTAAGTTTGCAAATTTGTAATCTTCTCTTTGGGAAAGAGTGTTCTCAAGAATTGGGGTATATTCTTGAGGGTGTTGTAAGGTTATCTCTTTGGCCTCAAAAGAAAGAACAAATTAGTGAATTTGTTGGAAAATCCTTAGTGTGGATAGCTAAGGTAGTGGACGTAGACTTTGATTGAGAAAGTTGAATCACTCTAAATCGCTGTGCAATTACTTTCAATTTTCTGCAAAAGCTTCCACAAAATTTTAATTGTCAATTCACCCCCCTCTTAGACAATTCCGACAATCGATTAACTCAACACCAACAACATTGCGCCTTGTGGTAACTTCAATACCGAGACAGCAGAATCCAAGACCTCCACCACCATTTCCTCAAATAATAACACCAAGGAGGACCAACAGTTCAAAGCATTCATTGATGTGCTTAGGCAATTAACAATCAACATTCCATTGATTGAAGCATTAGAGCAAAATCCGAACACATCAAGTTCATGCGAGAAGTTCTTTCAAAGAAGAGAAGGCTTGGAGAATTTGAAACTATTGCACTCACCGGGGGATGTAGTTTTATGGAAGCAAGATGATTACCACCTAAACTCAAAGATCCAGGGAGTTTCACTATTCCTTGTATTATTGGTGATCAATTTGTAAAACATTATGTAATTTAAGTGCTAGCATTAACATGATGTCATTGTTAATTTTTAGAAAAAATTAGAAGCGGAGAAGCAAGGTCCATCATTGTAACTTTGCAACTTGTTGACCGATCCACCGTACATCCTAGTGGCATTGTTGAGAACATGCTAGTTAGAGTGGACAAGTTCATTTTTCCCACCGTACATCTTTTTACGAAAGGGATCGATTGTTTTCCAAATAATTCATCCGTTGCAAGAAAGGGATCGTTCCTTTAAGGGAATGGATCGATTCTTTTCATCGAGAGATCGACCCTTTTCCTCGAGGGATCCTTTCTTTGGTGAAGGGATCGGTCCAAAACTTACTGGAATCTAAGGATCAATCCTTTTTGAAGGGGGTCAATCATTTGGTCAAAAGGATCGATACTTTGAGCCAAAAATCTTTGGAAACTCAAGTTTAAAGAATGAAAATGATAGATTATATTTTTTTAAAAGGTTCAACTAAGTTAGAAACCATTTAAAACATATTTTTCAAGTTAAATTAGATTTTGAATTATTTTTTATAACTTTTTGAAAATTTGATTAAGTCCAAAATCAATTTTGCAATTAATGTTATATCAAAATATTAATTCAACAAATTATATTAATTAATTCTTAAAAAAATATTAAATAAATAATATTAACATAAAACTTGTCAATAAAATTAGTTTTCTTACTATGTCAGATAGTTTGAAAAGCGTGTTACGCTTAATCTGAGTATTTCTATTTATTTTTATTTTTCTACTATAAAATATTAATTAAAACAAATAGTATAATAATTATACACTTTTTTTAACTAAACTGCAAAATATTAAGTAACTATACATAAATTACATAATTGCAAAAATAAAGATTATTAACACAATGTTTCAAAATTTTCTTATTTTTTATGTATCGAGATCTATGTTAAATGAAAAATGCAGGGCATACAGGGAATTGGAATCTATAAAGGAATTGGAATATGTAGGAATTGAAATCTGAATCTGAAACATGTTTGGTAGGCAGGAAATTGAATTGGAATCCAATTTCATATTTGTTTGGTTCGCAGACATGTCAATGAATTTGATTTCAGTAATGTAAAATGGCAGAATTGCCCTTCTTGTTTTTTTGCTTAATTTTAGTTTGTTTTATAACTTACATATAGCAATATATTATAAAAATTTAAAAAATATTAAATTTTCATTTTATTGATTGATTATTCATTTCAATGAATTATAAAAATCATACTAATAAACATCATAAATTAAAATCATCTCAATTAGGGATGGTCATGGGTCGGGTTGGGTCGGGTTTTTGGTCCACCCGACCCAACCTGAGAATAAGGGAACCTCCACCCGAGACCCGACCCAAACAAAATAAAGTTTCACACGACCCGACCCAACCTGAAATAATAAAAAAATTATTTTTATTCAATAAAAACAGTGACTTAATTAGAAAAAAATATATATAGAGGGGTATTATTGTAATTATTCTAAATATTTAAGGTAAAATTATATATTTTTTCGGGTCGGATCAGGTATTTTTCACCCTAAACCCGAACCCGACCCGAATATCACACTTAAAAAACCCAACCCGGCCCAAATATCAAACTTAAAAAACCCGAACAGACCCGAACCCGAAATCTTAAAAAAAAATCCGACCGATCCCGAAATTTTTTTAAAATAATACTACCGATCCCAAATTTAAAAAAAATCCGACCCGAATACCAAAAGATTGATGAGGGTAGTATGGTCATATTTCACATTCCCTCCTCCAAAGGAATTCAATTCTATCATATTATAAATGGAATTTACTTTCCCTCCCTCGATGGAATTGGATTTTAATTCCCTTTGAAAACTTAAATCAAACATGAGAAAGTGGTGAAATTGGATTCTAATTCCTCCTAATTTCAAGGGATTCAACCACCTAAAATTTCAATCATAATAGGATATTTATGTTTCGAATAGAAATACTAATAGCGTGTTCTAAAATTAGACATTATAAATGCATCTTTCCTTTGTTTTAAACTAGGGAAAAAAATTATTTCTTCGATGTGAAGAAGGGAGTGACGTGGGAGTATGTATATAGAGAGAAAAAAGCATTTTCCAGAAAGTGCATTTAGTAACATACGAAGAGTGTCTTTAATACCTTCCGAACACGCTGTGTTACGTAAGACAGTACATCCGACTAATAGTGCCTTTAGTAACATGCTTCCAACTAAGTACACCTTAATCTTACGTATTGAAATAGATGTCATTCCTCTAAATAAATTTTTTAAGTACTACTCATATAATTAACTCTTAAATGAATAGTATTCTTTACCAAAAAAATACTAATATACTATATGTTTTTAATGATCTTTCTAATTTCAAATTTGCTCGATATTTATTATTACCTCCTTAAGTGTGATTGCAAACCATCTATTCAATAAATATTATATTATTTTTTAAAAATAAATAGAGATATTCTAAACACAAACTATATATATATATTATTCTAGAGTTATTACAAGTTGTATTTGTTCTAAAGAATTTGACAATAAACACTCAAAGACCCTATAATCGTTGGTAATCGAACTTGAAAACTCTAGAGATAATAATCTCTTTAGCCAATGAGATGACTTGATTCGTGCATACAAACTATATACTTAGTTAAAAGATGATAAATGCATATTAATACTATATAATAATTACCAATTAATACATAAAATAAAAAATTAGAATAAAATAGCGAACAAAAATGAAGAGTACACACAAAGTCAAACTATTATACTCTTATTTTCTCTTAAAAATATATTTATAATTCAATAATGACTAATCAAATTATTTGTCAACATTTATAACCATTACCCGTCACTAACCGCTAAAACGAAACTTTTTTAATTGTAACAATTCAACAAATTAGCTTGTAAAATGTAATAATTACATTAGTTAACAATTACTGTTAGTAATTACCAGTTAATCTGCACACACATGTAGCAACCGTTCCGAATCCACAGACGAGGTGAAGTTAAGAGGCACAATGGTTGGATAGTATCAGAAGTGTGGAGTTTCATGCTGCTGAGAAATGGTCGAGGTTGAATTTTAGCTCAAAATACAAAAACCGAACACTTACGGCGACTACTTGGTGCTTGAAAACAACATACTCCCATGCCAAATTATCAACATCAGCATCAAGCTGAGATCTCCATCCTTGCTACGCATGTCACACGAGCAATGCAATTGAAATTAGCTATACCCAAATTTGAATAGTAAGCAAATCAATATCATCTTACTACCCCAGTGATTTGAGAATCTATATTTGATTCCAGCAGGAACCCTTTAAAATGTTAGCGTACGAGAGTGCGCTCAAACTTGATTTGGTCAAAATCTATCAACACTGACTTAGATTGTCTCAACTTGAACTTTTACACAACTTATTCTATTAGAAAATAAAATCTAAACACTGATTTACTAATAGATAATAAAAAATACTAAATTACTAATTAATAATTTCTAATTTTTTAATAAACACAAAATACAAAATTATTAATTAATTTACTAGGTTCTATATATAGTTTAAAAACTTGGTACAAATTCTAATGAGCTAAACATGCAACAAGCCTAGTCGAGCAACAAGTTTTTTAACGAGCATAAGTCAAGTAAAAAAATTTCAAGCTTAACAAACGAGTCAAGTCAAACAGCAAATTTTTTAACGAGTAAAAGTCAGAACACTACTCAGCTTATGATAAACTAGCTCGGTAAGCACCCCTGGTAATTATGCCAAAACAAACTACCTTTTAATAAACCCAACTGAGAAAGTGATGTCAATATATAGAACAGAGATCCAAATGAAGAAGACTAGAACACAAAACAATAATACAAAATCTCCAGAACATAGGCCAAATATCCAGATGGAAACAACGAAAGTGAAGTTCCGTTTAACGTCAATGTTTCAAACTAACAATAATTAGAAGCTAAATCAAAACAAAACATGAGGATATGCTATCCTCATTAACTTAGTGATCACCAGGCATGCTCTTAATGATATCAGAGTCACCTGGAAAACACAATATTATCACAATCAGAACAGTATACAGATGAATATGTAAATCCAACATGTTACCAAAAAGTAATATTTACCAGGATCAATAATGCTGAGGCAGCACACCCTGAAATATTTACCGCAAGCAGTGCCCAAATCTACGTTGTCTGCAAAAGCGTAACCCCAACGTTCTCAAGGGAATATCATAAAAAACAAAGTCAAGCATCCATTGAACAAACCAGCATAAAAATTTAAGCGTGAAAACTAAAATAACTGTTAGCTTCCATCAGGAAAATTCACGAAAATATAAAGGCCATTGTTGACCATATCTATCAATTCCTCAAAAGGTTTCCGGTCACATGCAGATTAGTTTTTCCTTCTACCATTTAAGGTAATATGAAAAACAATCACAGATACTAAGTAATTAACAAGAGTGCAATAGGTGAAGGGGCGTACTTCCATTGTAGTGATGAACTCCAACCTTGCACAACATGGCATAATACTCGATCTCTGACTTCCTAAGAGGAGGGCAGTTGTTGGCAATGATGATCAACTTACCTATAAAACATAAAAGAAAAATAAGAAAGTCTTGCAGAAGCTGAATCAACATTAGATTAGAACCACAAATATAATTCCAAACAAAATCAACACATGCACTTGGTTCAAGTTAAGCACTATCTTTTAGCCAAAATGAAATCCATTCACTTTTAGTTTACCATCGAAACCAATAAAACGAACCCATCGTTTTTCATATATATATTAAAAAAGGTGCCAGACATATTTAAACAATCAACCAGATAGCTCGACATTTTGGTATAGCAGAAAAAAAGCATAGTTTTAAGTAAAAAAGTCAATACCTTTGGAGCTTCTGAGAGATTTGAGAACAGTTTTGTAACCCAAAGTGTATTTCCCACTTTTCATAACGAGAGCCAATCTGTTGTTAATGCTCTCATGGGTCTTCTTCTGCACCAGAATTACCCATTAGCCATATACAAATCAGTTAGCATGTTTTCAGAAAATTTAGGAAAGCCAAATTTAAAAATTCGAAAATGAGAAAACGAGTTTTACGGTCTTCTTGGAGGCAACCATTGTCGGAGCAAGGCGGGGAGTGACAGCGGCAGCTACAAATGGCTCAGTTTCACCATAAGCGATAAGAAACCCTAAAATCTAACTAATATAGAGACTGGTTGGACACAATGGTTTTTGAGGTCGTGCTTTGGGCTAAAAGTGATGTCCTGATCATTCGATCCATTACCCTTTATGGCCCAATTCTCAGTCTCAATTTTAGTTGAAATTTATGAATTTGAATGAAATGTAAGTTGAATTCAAACTTAGAGGACTATAGTTTAATCTAAAAGTGTTAGGTCTTAAGCCGTTAGCTACGACTCTTGTGTAAAGTCAACAATGGAGGCTATAGAGGGGGGCACCGTTTTTTTTTTTTCATAGGTTTTTCAACAAAAAAGGGCACCAATTTCAATGTCCCAATTCTTTAATTAAAATATAAATAGGTTAATCGCAACTTTAGTCATTGCATTTTTTAGGGTATTTACAAGATTAGTCCCTAAGCTTCAATTATAAATACCCTAACCCATTTAGCTTCAAAATCATCCCAAATTCTTCCACTTCTCTCTCAAGTGTGTTTTGTAAACACCTGTAAAATTTCTCTTTAGTAAAAGATCTACAGCAGTCCGGAGACGTAAGCACAATTGGCTGAACTTCGTTATCAATTTTTCGGGTATTATTTTTTTCGCTTTTATTTCGTATTCTCACTAATCTGGTTATAGGGAAATTACTTGTACTCGGTTTATTTCACAACAACTGGTAATCAGAGCTTTTGGTTGTAAGTTTTGTCAAATTTTTTTGCGATATTACTATTCATTACTATTCACATGAATAGTAAAATTTGTGAACAGTGAAATTTTGTCGGCAATACGAATTTGTCGACAGAGGTGTTCTAATACATGGTGGTTCGCAAGAATTGTCAGAAACGATCCAAACGAATCCAGATTCGAGTGGGAGCGATGGCTGCAGACGAAGGGAATGTGAAAATTGAAAAATTCGATGGTGCGGACTTTGGCTTTTGGAAGATGCAGATTGAAGATTTTCTGTACTAGAAAAATCTATATCAACCCCTCTCAGAAAGCAACCAGAGAGGCATGAACAATGAAGACTGGGCTCTTCTCGATAGATAAGCCCTCGGTCGACTGACGTTATCCCGCAATGTTGCTTTCAACATAGCAAAGGAAAAGACCACGGCGGGTCTTATGGCGGCTCTCTCCAGTATGTATGAGAAGCCATCAGCCTCAAACAAATTTCACTTGATGAGGCGATTATTCAATTTGCGGATGACGGAAGCTACTCTCAACCTGGCGTTGGGGGCAGCCTACTACCCTACCTCCCCCTTACCCCATTGCATATGGGAATTGGGTTTTGTTGTTGTTGTTGTTGTTGTTGGAAGGGGCATCAATGGCTCAACACCTAAATGAACTCAACACTATCACAACCCAGTTGAGTTCCGTGGAAATTGAATTCGATGATGAAGTTCGAGCTTTAATTCTCTTATCATCTCTACCAGACAGTTGGAATGCTACTGTTACAGCAGTCAGCAGCTCGTCGGGAAACAGCAAATTAAAATTCGACGATGTTCGAGATCTGGTATTGAGTGAAGAAATTCGACGGAGAGAATCGGGTGAAGCATCAACCTCCTCAGCCTTGCACACGGAGTCCAGAGGAAGAACTTCAGAAAAAAATTCAATTCGTAGCAGATCCAAATCCAGAATGGGAAAATCAAGAATAGGAAAGAAAGATTTTACCTGTTATAATTGTGGCAAGAATGGTCATTTTAAAAGAGACTGTCGAGCAATGAAGAAAGATACCGGCACACAGGGATCTGCCAACATGACATAGGAGACAGGTGATGCCATGATTCTAAGCGTCAACAGTCCGATTGAATAATGAATCTTGGATTCAGGGGCATCTTTCACTCCACCCCATGCCGAGAAATCATGGAGAACTATATCAGTGGTGATTTTGGGAAGGTTCATCTATCTGATGATGAAACCTTGGAGATTGTCAGAAGATGAGACATCCAACTAAAGTTGCCAAACCAGACCACCTGGATGCTGAAAGGTGTGAGACATATTCCTGGTCTCAAAAAAAATTTGATTTTGTTGGACAGCTTGATGGAGAAGGATATAATATAACCTTTTCAGGCTGTGAATGGAAAATTACCAAAGGAGCACTCGTCATTGCTCGTGGTAAGAAAACTAGTACTCTCTATGTAACCTCAAATTTAGAGAATATAATTGCATTCGCGGATGCTGATGGAAAATCAAAACTATGGCACCAAAGGCTTGGTCACATAAGCGAGAAAGGGATGAAGACACTTTTGTCAAAAGGGAAGCTGTCGGATCTAAAGAATGTAGATGTCGCACTATGCGAGGATTGCATATTTGCAAACAAAAGAATGTAAGCTTTACAAAGATTGGTAAGACACCCAAGGCTCAAAAGTTATAGTTGGTTCATACTGATGTATGGGGATCATCTCCAGTTCCATCTCTTGCATGCTTACTATATTATGTCACCTTCATCGATGATTCTACAAGAAAGGTGTGGGTTTATTTTCTGAAGAAGAAATCAGAAGTCTTTGATACATTCAGAAAATGGAAGGCCATGGTGGAAAATGAGACTGGTCTGAAAGTCAAGCGGTTGAGGTTTGACAATGGAGGAGAGTACAGAAATAGGAGATTCAGAGATTTCTGTGCAAACAATGGGATCAAGATGGAGACAACAGTTCCCATGACACTACAGCAGAATGGCATAGCAGAGTGCATGAACAGAACTCTGAATGAACGTGCCAGAAGCATGAGGATACATGTTGGATTGCCCAAATTTCTATGGGCTGAACCTATCAACACTGCAGCTTACCTGATCAACCGTGGGCCCTCAGTTCCTTTGGATGGAAGAATACCAGAGGAAGTTTGGAGCAAGAAAGAAATAAACCTTTCACACTTAAGAGTGTTTGGTTGTATTTCTTATGTACACATAGACTCTGCTGAAAGAAATAAACTTGATTCTAAGTCCAACAAATGTTCCTTTGTTGGTTACGGCGGTGATGAGTTCGGTTACCGGTTTTGGGACTATGAAAATTGGAAGATCATCAGAAGTAGAGATGTCATTTTCAATGAGAATGTGAAGTACAAAGACAGGTCAACTGTAGAATCAAGCAGCTCCAATACCAAAGTTGAAACAAAGGAATTTGCTGAGTTCGAGGAGATTTCTGGAAATGATGTTCAGATCAATCCTGAAGCAGTTCAAGAAGAACCAGGCACACCGGAACTAAGACGCTCCTCCATAATTCCTAAACCAACCCAACGGTATTCTCCTTCTTTGCACTACTTATTGCTGACTGACAATGGTGAACCAGAGTGCTATGATGAAGCAATGCAAGTGGAGGATTCAGTCAAGTGGGAATCTTCCATGAAAGATGAGATGGGCTCGTTTATGTCAAATCAGATGGGAATTAGCTGAATTACCACCATGCAAGAAAGCGTTCCATAACAAGTGGATCTACAGGATCAAAGAAGAGCACGATCGGAGAAAACGCAACAAAGCAAGATTGGTTGTCAAAGGCTTTCAGCAAAAAGAAGGTATTGACTACAATGCAATTTTCTCTCCAGTCGTAAAACTGTCTACAATCAGACTGGTGTTAAAAATTATAGCTGCAGAGAATTTACATCTTGAGCAATTAGATGTAAAGACAGCTTTCCTTCATTGTGATTTGGAGGAAGAAATCTATACGAGGCAGCCAGAAGGCTTCATAGAGGCAGGTAAGAAAAACCTGGTATGCAGGTTGAATAAGAGCTTGTATGGTTAAAACAAGCTTCTAGATAGTGGTACAAGAAGTTTGACAGCTACATGAGTAGCAGTGGTTTTACCAGATGCCAAGCAGATCATTGTTGCTACATCAAGATGTTGAAACCTTTTTTCGCCCGGAGGGGAAAAAGATCGATACCGACTCGGGGGTTTTCTCTTTGAAAATCGTTTCGAAATATGAGGAGTCGCCACCAATCATTTAAGGTAAGATTGGAACACCATAAAAACCAGATGCTTTTAATAAAACATTTTTGCTTTTAATAAAACATTTTTTTATCAAAATATCGGTTTGAAGGTCTGCGAAAATCTAGAAATCAGGTTCGGGAGTCTGTTACGCATGGGGAAGGATTAGCACCCCCACAAGCGCCCACAAATTGGTACCCAGTTGATTACCCTATATTTAAAATAAAAAATTAGAGTTTGATATTTATTTAATTTAAAATTCATTAAGGATACAAAGTTAAAAAGGGTATTCATTTATCGAGACCGATAGCGTTCGCCCCCGAGCGTAAATGCAGGAGATCAGCTATTGTGCCTAATAACCGAATATTGCCTCATTTTTAGAAAAAAACATGATATAGTTTTAAAAAGGATGTTGACTTATTCAGGGAATTACCAGTAGTCACCCCCTAAGCACGATCGCGTGAGATATACTATTAATTCCTTAATAAGTGAACACTGTCTTAGATTTGTAAAAACAATGCAATCAAATAAAATTTATTTGTCTTAATTAAACTAAAAGTAAATTAAGGTCTTTTCTAACTTAAAGTGTCAAATTAAGAAAATTAAGGTATCTAGGAGCTCAAATCTAAAATGTAAGTTCTAGTATTAAAGCTTAATGTTATATATTAAAATGAAGTAAATATTCACGTATTAGAAAGTTTCTTTTGATAATTTTAAAATGATCGAATATCACCCTTAGTCAATTTATTTCGATTTGAATCAAATAATGCTCATGAGGATATTGTACAAATTATGCAAAAAGGATGTCATGCCAGAATTAATTAAATAAATATTATGATCAAGAAAACTATGTCATGTGATATACAGATATTATATACATATATTTATTAATTATAATATATCGTATATATCTTAGCATATGATACCCAAATGTGATTGAAATACAAAAATTAAAATATAACATTCCACACTATAAATTTATTAAAAATAGCATTACATATTAAAATAATGATTAAATCATGTTAAATGTAACTTTACTATCTTAAATACAACCAGAATAAAAATATGATTGAAAATACAAATATCATACCATAATAAATAA